AGTAGCGCTTGCGCCGCAGTTTCCGTCGAAACCAGGTTTAGGGTTTAGGGTTTTAGGGTTTAGGGTTTGAGGGTTTAGGGCTTGGGGTTTCGGGCTTGGGGGTTAGAGCCTGTAGGTATCCAGAACCCCTTTAAGGGGAATAAGTGCCTTGCAGCTGGTGCTGTGATTATTATCATAGTTTGGATGTTTTTGAATGTCCCTAAACCTGGAACCTAGGTTGTCCTGCAGGGTCTTGCAGGACTTCACATTAAGTCCTTTTGTTGGTTTGTGCCAGGTTCAAAAGATAACCCACTAAGAATCACAGAGTGTCCATGTTCCTACTGCTCAGTCGTAGTATCAGCTGGGGGGGACTTGGCCAGAGAACGACCGCAATTCTGCTCACCACATGTCAGCAACCCTAAACCCTTCACCCCTAAACCCTTAACCCTAAACCCTTAATCCTAAATCCCTAAATACTTCGACGCCGCAGGATAGCGAAACAACAACAAACGCACAAATGCTCCCAAATAACTTAGCTGCACAAGATCCTAAACCCTAAACCCATATAAGGATTTCAACCTAAGGAACCCACCAACAAAAAGGGGCTTATCGGGTTCAGGCAAGCCCGGAAGCCCCACAGCGGATGAGGGTTCAGGCTTTACTGGGTTCTTGCTAAGGGGTTTAGGGTTTAGGGTTCTTGTTAAGGGGGTTAGGGTTTAGGGGCGTAGGTTTTAGGGATTTTATTGCAGTTGCCATCGTAAAGAAACCAAATTATTTACGATAGATCCCCAGTATGGTAGCTTAAATTAAGTTCCTTAGCGAGAACCCAGTTGAGGGTTTGTGTCTTCAACTTAGCTTTGCTTAGGGAAGCGATCTTCGCGGTTCTACAAGGAATCTCTGGCGGATCTCTAGAGGCTCTACAATGTAGGGCCTTTAATAATTGTAATAGGGTTTGGGGGGTATATTAGACTATTTTTCACATTACGGAACCCAACAAAGGAGTATTGGTATAATTAAATAGGCTCCTAGATTTTGTTCTGCAAGTGTGCCAGAAGCTTTGGGGATGGGAGTTCAGGGTTCAGGGTTGCCGCTTCACGTGCTTTGGCGGTTGAAAGGAACAGGCTTCATTTATAGATCCTAAACGGCTACGACCAGCATTGAATCCCAAACTAAACCCCTAAAGTTTAGGGCCTAAGCCCTAAACTATCGGAGCGTAGTCCAAGATGCAGAGCAAGTCGTCTGCTCACACTTGACGGTGGTGTGATTCTTGCCTTGGTGTTTAGGGGTCTAGGAATTCAATCAAACTCTAGGGTTTAGAGATTCTTGCCTTGGAGGGTAGGGTCTAGAAATTTAGGGGTTTAGGGGACTCCTGCCTTGGAGTTGAACCCTAAACCCTAAACCCTAAACCCTAAACCCTAAGGTTAAGGGCTTAGGAGGGATTCGTTGCATCGGAGATTCTGATTTCGGGGGCTTTGGACTCTCGGGGTTCCTGTCTGCAATGTACCTCCTTCTCTAAAGAGGGGTGAGCTGTTCTATTTATGGCTCGGATCCCATCCCTAAACCCTAAACCCTAAACCCTAAACCCTAAACCCTAAACCCTAAACCCTAAACCCTAAACGGAAAAGAAGGATTTGCAGCGAAGACTACAAGATAGGGGCCTTGATAGTTGGGCTGAGGGTTGCTTTAGGGTTTAGGGTTTAGGGTTTAGGGCTCCTTCAAGGTCTTTCGCGTTCTTTCTGCAAGGGTTCTACAATGTAGGGGCCTGCTGGATGAGACTTGGGATCAACACTATAATGTACGGGGGTTGGGCCCTGGTTGCTGGAAGTAAGTTGTTTTTTTTTTTGGGGGGGGGGTATAGTATGGTGTGTGTGTGTATATATATATACGATAAGGACCCTAAGCAATTTCAACGGTAGTTCGCAAGCTTCTCTGCAAGGGGCGTTGGTCTAAAGTCTTTTGGGTTTTAGGGTTTGGGGTTTAGGGTTTAGGGTGTGCCTTCCTAGCCACACTGCTCTAGTTGGGACAGAAGGCGACAAACTGCAAGCGCCCGAGCCAGATATTCCTCAACCTTATCTTGATAGACCTCGCCCCCCTAACATGCTGCCGCAGCACAAGCCATACAGTTCTTCCTGGCCTACAAAAAGCTGCAGCCTAAAAGCACAGACCTCGAAAGCACAACCCTCATCCTGCAGAAAGGGGGACAAGGCTTGGGTAGCTTTACATGGGGGCACTAGGGTTTAGGGTTTAGGGCAGCATTTTTGCAGTTCGATAAACCCGAAACTCTTGACTGTTGACGCCGAATCCAAGTTGCCATGCAGCGAGGCATATCCGTCATATGGCGTGGGCATCTAACACAGTCTAGGTCAACACAAGTCGTCATGGATGTTGCTGCTCTTGACGAAAGCTGCTACTGTTGCAGAAAGGTAAAAATATCCCCTGAATCGATCAAAGTCCTATTCTACTGGTTAATTCATTAGGGTCAAAGCCTGTAAATCCTTGCAAGCAAGCCTCTACGCCCCTCATAAGACGCTATAGAACCCCACATTCGTTTCAACCCTTGGAATTTATGCCGCGTACTTGCGAAGGCCCTCAAGCCCAAACCCTAAACCCCAAACCCCCAAACCCTAAGCGGCCCTAAACCCTAATCCCCAAACGTAGAACCCCTAAACCACAAACCCCTAAACCCTAAACCCCTAAACCCTAAACCCCTAAACCCTAAAACCCCAAACCCTAAATCCGAGCATCCGAAAGCCTCGAACTTGAACCTCCCCTCCGCTGAGAGCTAAGCGCTTTCCCGTCGCATGGGTCGCAGCCTCAGTAAGGTTGGTCCAGAATTTAGGGTTTAGGGGTGTAGGGTTTAGGGCTGAGGGGTGTAGGGTTTAGGGTTTAGGTTCGGAAGGGTTTTAGAGATTCGGAGGTCGGACGTTGGGTTTTCGGACGTCGGACGTCGGGTTCGGGCTATAGAATTTAAGGTTAGTTTAACTGCGCAGCGCAAGGTTCGGGATTTAGAAGTTGGGGCTGAGGAGGTGTAGTATTTTTTTTGGTGCAGGCTGTAGCACTGTTCATGGGAACAGCATACTTCCCAACTACTCTGCACGCGGCCCAAGCGCGCCTTCTTCGGATGGTCCGAGGCCGGACATTCTAGACTGAACAGAAACCCTGAGGGTCCATGTACTCTAATGGTGGAACATTGGCCCTAAAGTACCTATAGAGGGACTACATTAAGGCCAAAGCATAGACTGTTTGGGTACATGGATCCTTAGGGAGAGGGAGTGTATGTGGACAACACAACAACCTCCGGCTTTACTATTCGATAGAAGTTTGCAGACTGCACGCATACCCCCCAACTCTAAATCCACAACCCTTAATTTAGAGGCCTTAATGATTAGAATAGGGTTTTGGGGCCCAATATACTGTAGATTATAATAAGGAATCCCCAAAACAACATAGGTAATTATGAAGGCCCCTATATTAACCCGAAAGCCAAAGCCCAAGAGCCCGAAGCCCTGATAGATGCGCAGAAATATAGGGGCTTTAATAATTAACATAGGTTTTGGGGTATATTATACTGTAATCAAAATAAGGAACCCCCAAAACCCTATTCTAACTAATTATTATTGAGGCTCCTACATTAGACCATGGCCGAGGTCCCAGCGAAGCCTTCAAGCGAGAAGAAGTCCTTGCACTGCTCGCACCTCAGGGTTTAGGGTTTAGGGTTTAGGGTTTAGGGAAGGAACGAGCCGGCTTCGAAGATCTAGAATTCCGATGATTTGTTCGTTGTTCGGCCTGTGTTTGTAGAGCGCGAGGTGTTGTAGTTAAACGCTCAAGACCAAGGATTCGCGTGTGAGGTTGAGGGATGGCTTCTGTCGGGACAAGGAGCTGGGAAGCCTTAGCGACACGAAAAAATGCTTCGGTGTGATGGTTGACTCATCGCCCATTTGCATTGAAGGGAAGGTCCTCAGATATGTTCGAGTGCGAGGCCCTAAACTGTCTCCCTTTCAGGGATTCCGACCGCAGACATTATTGTCTCTGTTTGCGTGGGCAGATTGCACTGGTGACTAGTGTTTCGCAGCAGGGTCGCTGCTGTTTCTTGATGCAGAACCAAATCATGTGGATTTGCAGCTCGCTTGAATGTGGAGCATTGCGAAAGCTTACACGTCCATGCTCGAATTACGGGTCAACCTTTCTCAGGGTTTGGGGCTTATAGGCTTATGCGATGATGATTTCGAGCTCTCCATGTACCTATCTGCCTGCCTGTCTATCTATCTATCTATCTATCTATCTATCTTTTTTATCTATCTACCTATCTATCTATCTATCTATCTATCTGTCTATCGATCTATCTATCTATCTACCTACACATCTACCTGTCTATCTATCTATCTATCTATCTATCTATCTATGTATCTATGCATCTATGTACCTATGTACCTATGTATCTATGTATCTATGTATCTATGTATCTATCTACCTATCTATCTACCTGCCTATCTAATATCCATCTCTCTGTCAGTCTGTCGGTCGGTCGGTCTATCTACCTGTCTATCTCTCTCTCTCTCTGACTCTCTCTCTCTCTCTCGACGATCTACATGGGCTGCTGAGGATTGAAGGCTAGTCACTGGACTGCTAGCACCCCAAACTCTCTCAGAAAGCTGTAGAGCCCAGGAACTGACGGCCCCATGAGCCCTACGATCCGAACGCCCTTAGAAACCCAAACCCCAAGGCCAAAACCCTCAACTCCAAACATAAACAACAAGTCCTAACTTAACGAATGTCCAAAAACCCTTTCACGGCTAGAACCCTGAATCTGGACGGCCTAACACTCTAAAACCAAAGCCTCACAAACACAAACTCGACAACCGGAGCGCCGAAAATGTGAAGCAAACACATCAAAGCAACCCTGAAACCTAAACCCCAAAACCCCCTAACCCCCCTAAACTCCCTAAAACCTAAACCGTAAAATAACACCAACACCGCTCTGAGAGCTGCTCTTCACCCTGGCTGGCTGGCCCTCAATCTCCGTGCCTTTGCTTGGGCTCTGGGATTTTGAACTTTGTTAGGGTTTAGGGTTTAGGGTTTAGGGTTTTTTGGGGCTTAGGGGGTTTAGGGTTTGAGGGTTTTGCTGAGGAAGAATGGGGTCCTTCGAGTAAGGATCTGGTTGGTACCGGTTTTAGGGGTTTTGGGGATTTTGGGAGGTTAGTTACGGTGACTAGGTCCAGGGTTCCACGGTTTTTTTTGGGGTTTAGCCTAAACCCTAAACCCTAAATCCTAAACCGTAAACCCTAAACCCAAAACCCTAAACCCGCTTGTATGGTTTAGGGCGTGAGGTTCCAGGGTTTAGGCTACACAGAGAGCCCGGCTGGCTCCTTACTTCAGGTATACAGCCCAACCGTGGGGGCTTAATAATTAGAATAGGGTTTTGGGGCCCATTGTACTACAATTAGAATAAGGAACCCTCAAAAACATCATTGGTAATTATTTAGGCCCCTACAATAGGACCTCTTGAAAGTTGTAAGGACCTGACTTCGAAGATGTATCGAGATCCCTGCGTATCAGGACCCCGAAAGAACCACGAGCAGGGTTTGTGTATATGGTCACAGCAGTCAGATCAAGGGTGTCCATACATACCACTATTATGGAACTACCTATAGTCTCCATTGTAGCTCCTTTATTTGGTTTAACCAATTTTATATCAAGGATCCAATAAGGTAACCCCAAAAAGGAACCACAATGGAGACCATAGGTAGTCTCCTAACACCCATGAACCATTGGGATGGCCGCTCTGGACCCAAATTCCATAGCGGTGGTCTGGTGGGGCCCCTGGGGTCTAAAGTCGTGGTTTAGGGTTTAGGGTTTAGGGTTTAGGCCATGTGCTCGGGGCTCCTCGCCTTCGCAATGCTAACCCACTTTCCTAAAAATCCACCTAAGAAACATCACCGCCTTGTGGGGGTTTCCGAAAATAGGGGACCCTAATATAGCACCCTAAATAATAGGATCCTTATTATAAGGACCCCCCAAATCAAGGTACCCCCAATTTTCGGAAACTCCCATATGGGATTCGGGGGCGCAAGAGCAACAGCGACAGCAAGAGCAGGAGCGGGAGCAAGAGCAGTGACAGTACGTAGAGCTAAAGACCCCACCTAATATTCAACAAACCTGTCGAGCTTTTATTGGGGAGAGGGTTTCTGTGATGTGGAAAGCCCACCTAATATTCAATAAACTTGTTGTGGTTTTATTGAGGGAGAAGGTTTCTGTGATGTAGATCTGAGAAGATGGTTTCTCCATACTCAGAAGCGTTCAAACCGATATCCGAACCCCAGACCCCCTAAATCCTAACAACATGATGACTCAATCCCAAAGCCTAAACCCTATAATAATTAATCCTAACCTTCTAAGCCCAAGAACCTAAATCCTGCTAACGACTCAACCCTAAACCCTAACACCCCATTAAACCCTAAACAGGACTCCTAGGCCAGGCTGCACATGATGACTGCGTCCGGCTTGTTGAGGACTTCCAAGCGAATCTGCTCATCACGGACCTCGCGGGAAGCAGGTTAAGGGGTTAGGGGTTTAGGGCTCAGCGCTTCGGGGTTTAGGGGTTTATAAGGGCTTAGGGAGTAGGGAATGAAATTTTCCAGAGAGTCCAATGAGTCCAATCTGCCTTGCTTGGAGGACTTTGCATACGGGGCTCAGTGTCTAAGGATTGAAATGAAGGTTGTTCAGTACGCTCGCATGATTTCAAGCCCAACAGTTCAAGCTTAAGATGGCCTCGGATTCCGAATGAGATTGCTTTGGGTGTAGGGTTTAAGGTCTACATGGGCTTGGGTTTGGGGTTTACAGGGTTCAGGGTTGAGGGTTTGTGTTTGGCGGCAATCGCAAAATCGGCACCGCTTGCGACATGGAAGCTCAAGCACAGGGAAGCTGCTGCGCAACACCTCTTCCAAGGCCGTTCAAGGAGTCCTTCAAGCTCTTCAGGGGTTTTCGCATGTTCATTGATACGGACCTTGTGAATCTAAACTGGTTCATCAGCCCGGGCCCAGATGGAGAATGCTAGACTGAGCCTTGATCCTAAACCCTAAATCCTAGACCC